GGGAAAGAATGTTCTTACGCAGGGGTCATTTCGTAGAAAAAGAGGTGCAGGAGTTCATTAGCATAACTCATTAGCATAACTTTTTTGCATATGCCACACCCCCTGACATCACCGGAAGTGTGTCAGAAGGCAACACCCACCGCTCAGGCTCCCCTGGACTGTTTTGGATTGCTACCTATTGGGGGGGGGGGAACGTGCAGATGTGACCTCACAGAGGAGGGACAGCTTTTACCTTAATAAAACTTGGTCTTAAAGGTGCTACTGGACTGTTTTGGACTGGGGGGCCGGGGGGAGCTCTGCAACTTACCTGGCTGCTTCTTGCTCTGACTGAGGGCTGCTGGGAGTGGGAGGTGGGGCTTGTTGCATGTGCCCGCCCCCTGGGGGCTTTACTGCCAGAATTCTGCTCCTGTGCGCTCCTGCAGGAAATGACCCCTGTTCTTACGCAAATGTGAGATCACAGGATGGGTTGTAAATAAACAAAAAAACAACCGCGATATTAATATGCAATCTATTCAATTATTATTATCAAGCATTTACATTATTGAACAAATTACAAAGCCATCCTGGCAGGCATAGTGGTGGTGTTCCTATCTGCACAGATCACCACAGCAACTTGGGGGAAAGGACACAGAGGCTCACAAATGGCCGAGGGAATGGGAGGAAAAACAGGCAGGTGGGGATGTGGGTGAGCTAGAAAGAAGGGATGAGTGGGGGTCCTGGTGGGAGTCGGGGGGGCGGGGCCCTGATCAGGCTCACATAGCAGTTTTATCCTTGAGGCCTTGCCAAATTTCAATTAAGGTGTTTTATTTGGATGAAAAAAATATATATTTGAATAAGTAAGAGGGAGAGAGCCCACACTTTAGCTAGCATTGTATAGTGGTCAAGAGTGTTGTGGTGGACTCTAATCTGGAGAACTGGGTTTGATTCCTCATGCCTCTACATGAAGCCTGCTGGGTCACCTTGGGTCAGTCACAGTTCTCTCAGAAATCTCTCAGCCCCACCTACCTCACAGGGTGTCTGTTGCAGGGAGAAGGGAAGGTGACTGTAAGCCACTTTGAGTCTCCTCAAGGTAGAGAAAAGTGGGGTACAAAAAAAAGTGGGGTATATAAAAAAAGTGGTTAAGTGCGCGGACTCTAATCTGGGAGAGCTGGGTTTGATTCCCCCACTCCTTCACTTGCACCTGGCTGGATGACTTTGGGCAAGCCGTAGTTCTGATAAGAACTGTCCTTGAAAAAGAGCAGTTTCTGTCAAGAGCTCTCCCAGCCCCGCCTACCTCACAGGGTGTCTGTTGTGGGGAGGGGAAGGAGTTTGTAAGCCGCTCTGAGACACCTTTGGGTAGTGAAGGGCGGGGTATCAATCCAATCTCTTCTTCTTCTTTTACCTCACAGGGTGTCTGTTGTGGGGAGGGGAAGGGGAAGGAGTTTGTAAGCCGCTCTGAGACACCTTTGGGTAGTGAAGGGCGGGGTATAAATCCAATCTCCTCTTCTTCTTTATTGTTGCATCTCTTTGCGTTTTGTGTAAAATGCCATGGTGGGGTACATATGCTAGAACCCTTACTTTTCTTGTGGAGCAAAAAGAAACATGAAAAGATCAGATTTGTATGGACAAACAGTTCAAGCCCCCAAAGACACAGAATTCAGCTGTCCCTGAGCTTTGCCATTGAATAGAATCTTGAATGAAGTGGGATCTAGTCTGCAAAAGCTTTTTCTGCAATAAATCTCCTAGTCTTCAGGATGCTCCAAAGACTTTGTGCTGCAGCAGACGCACCCCTGCCCTCTCTGTGCAATGACTGTATCAAAGGATGTCAAGTGGCTTTATATGCAGTAATACTACCACCTGGTGTGCCATTGAAGAAATTCAGCGCTTACGTTTCTGATCAACCGTTTCTATAGTTTGTCTCACACTGGCAAGGGTACAAAAGTAACGGTGCTGCAAGATACCTGCTAGAATGCTGTGATTGTTAATTAAGTAACCCAAGGCTTCTGTGGACCCAAA